CGCGGTGGTTGGGCCCGGCTGGTGGCACGGGCGATCCGAAGACGGCTAGTACTGGCTACATGGGGAGACGGCGGCGCCGGGTGGATCGGGTGCCCCGGGGCGGGGCGGGCGCCCTGCCCGAGGCCATCGCCGCGCTGAGTCGGTCGCTGCCCTCCGCGCCCAGCCCTGAGATCTTCCGCCGCGCCAAGTTCGACCGTCCGGAGGCGGTGAGGCTTGCGGGAAAGGCGGCGAGCCCGATGTGGGCCCCAGGCGGATGCAGGGAGGCGGGCCGGCCATTCTGACCGTCCGCGCTTTGTTTCCCGCAGGCCCCTGCGCTCTGGCAGCTCCTCTTCCGCGTGCTCTCGCCGCTTCCGGCGGACGACGCCTCGGCCTCGCCCGCCCTGGGTAAGCCCCGCCCTGGCAGGCCCTGGCCCCGCCCACCGAGTGGTACTGGCTCCGCCTGCTCCGGGTCCAGTTCCGCCCACCGAGCAGCACTCCGTCTACTTCTGCGACGTTCCGCCCTGGAAAGCCCTGCATCTCGCTGTCTCTAGTTGCGCCCCCCGGGTTGCATTTGTTCTGTCCGCTCTTGTAAAATCCCCCACAAGTCATGCCCTCCCAGTAAGCCCACTCCTGACCCGATCCAGCTCCGCCTACTGGGTGGCATCGGCTCCACCCCTTCCTCCAAAGTCCCGCCCCTATGGTCCCTGGCCAGCTCATTCTTGTGAGTTCCAGCCCCCCAGATTATCCCCTCTGAGCCGGGCCTCTGTTCTGGGACCTGGAGGGGTCCAGGTGGTATCACCTTCAGGTGGGCTGTTCCTGAGCCTGTGGTCTCTTACCCCAGAGGCCCGAGCCCGTTTGGTGAAGTCTGCGCTGTGCTCGCGGGGCTACCCGAGACTGGCCCTGGCACAACTCCCCGAGGACGGCTCCAGCGGCAGCCGGGAGCTGCTGCTGGCCCTGTCCTGGCTCCTGGCCCGAGGACCTTTGCCCGAGCAGCTGCTGGCCCAGGACCGAGTGTCACTGGGCGATGAGATGCCTGTGTGCCAGGTGAGTGTAGGGCAGGGGTGGGCTGGGAACAGCCCTGGCTGGACCCCTGGGTGCCTCCATGATCACAGCAAGGACAGGCCTGGGCCAGCGCCTGCTGTGTCTCTTGCTTTGATTCTCAGGGCAGTCCTGTGAGGGGTTGCCCAGCAGTACCACTGAGGCCACGGGGGCTCATCTTTATGTTTGGAGCACCCTTTATTCTTAGCCGTGCCTCCACTGCCCTCCCCGTCCCAGCCCCTCCTGCAGGTCAGGGTGGGAGCAGGGCCTGATTCTCATCCTGTCTCCAGTGTGAGGCCCTGGCCCGCCGTGGGCCATCTGCACCCCCTGTGGAAGCAGAGGGCCCTGTGGACATCCGCTTTGTGCAGTGGCTGATGGGAAAGTTGCGGTTCCAGTGGCGACAGCTGGCCTCCAGTCAGCAGGAGCAGTGCGCCCTCTTAAGCAAGGTAGATCCGGCGCATGGTGGTACCCCCCAGGCAGTATCATGCTCCACAGGCAGCTGGCTGCCATTCCCTGCCACCTGTTCTGTCAGACCTGGCACGCATCAGAGCCCAGGCTCTGGGCTGGATGTGACTTTCCACTCTGGGTTGGTTGGAAGTCTGAGCCCATGGCTCCAGTGGTCCTGGAGGGGACCCAGGGTGGGATGGAGTTGGGCAGTGCTGGGCAGGGATCCAGGGTGTGGGCAGCTTCTCAGTCCCACTGGCAGGGCCGGAGCTGGGTGTCACAGAGCCCACAAGGTGGGCTTTTGTGTACCCGGAAGTCACTAGAGGCATGTAGACTGTTTCACCAAGCAGTGGAATGGGCTCTGTGCCATGGAGAGCCACTCCCTCCTGGGCACCCCCTCCTCCCACCACATCCTGGTGGGACTGATTTGGGCCCTGAGGCAGTAGGGGTGGCTGCAAGGGCATTGCTGACAGTGGCTTGGTGGTGGCTGTGGCTCCTACCAGTGCAGGGCTCCTTGCTGCTGGGACCCCCAGTGCTGCCCCTGCAGAGGGTCTGTTGTTCAGCCCATCTTCTGGGACTGCTCGCCCCAACCTGCCTGGACTGGGGTCCAGTTGCCCTGCCTGCTCGGGGCGTGCTGCCTTCTAGCCCTGCCTCTCTGGGAGCTCTTCCTGTCACCTAGACCAAAGCAGTCACTCTGTATGCCCATCAGGTGCCTTGCTGGACTGCTGAGCCTCTCCAGAGGCGCCTTTCCTGCCACTCTGGCCTTCCAGGGCAGGACTGCACCTTCAAGTCCCAGGGAGGCAGGAGTCTTGCTGCTACCTGGGGAGCTGAGTGGGGGCTGTGAGTGAGAGGGCCTGGTGCCCCACTTCTGTTGGGCCCCCAGGGGTGGCAACAGCTGTCTGGAGCCCAGGCAAGATGTGACCTTTCTGTGCCCTGTGTCCTGGCCTGTGACGTGGGCTCTGAAGGGTGACCTTACTGGACCCTCCTCCACTCAGTCTGGGGTCTACTACATTGCCCGTTTCAGATCCACTTGTATACCCGCGGCTGCCACAGCGACCGGCGCCTCGGCCATCTGTCTGTTGCTGAAACAGAGATGCTCAGGGACTCAGAGGGCAGTCAACGGGTAAGGGCTGGCAGGGTGCTGTGTGGACGCTGCCTGCAGTGGGAGGTCGTGGGGGGTGCTGTCAGGGAGGGTCAGGGCAGCAGTCAGGCTTTGATGTGAGTGTCTCTGGGTGTTTGCGGCCGTCATTGCTGGGGTGGTGATGATGTGTCCTCTGGGCCTCTCCCAGTCCCATGGACTGTCCACCCCTCCAGGAAGCCAGGCTGGGTGCTGTGTGTGGACGTCTTCTGTAGCTGGGCGTGGGCAGTGTCCCAGGTGCACAGGTGTCTAGGCTGGGCTGGCAGCTGCTTAGGGTGGACTACTAGAATTAAGGAACTCTAATCTCGGGTGGCGTTGGCACCTTGAGCCCCTGCAAGAGTTGCCTGGTGTGGTGGGAGGTGCCTGGGGATCAGGTGGGGGCTAGCCCATGCTGGGGAGAGGGCTGGGTACAGGGTTGACTGTGGGAGGGGATGACTCCCCTTCAGAGCCCGGGGCCAGATTCGCAGGGACATGTTGGGACGGGTCTCTGGGTCCCCAAGACTCTGCATGTGGAACAGGTATTTGGCAGGGCTGCCCTAGGCGATAGGGCCCTGGAATCCCGGGTATTTACTGGTCCTGGAGGAAAGTCCGGCTGAACCCTGGGTGACTGTGTGATCTTGTGCTGCTGGGGCATGGACCGGAAGAACAACAGTGCTGGCCTAGCTCCGGGTGTCTTCCCCAGAGGTGTCCTCTTCCCCCCACACCCCTCCCCTTGGCTCTGACCTTCTACCCCATCCTTTTTGAGGGCATGTTTACCCTTATCCTTGGCTACTTCCTCTTGGCTGGCTTTGCCCTGGGAAAGGCAGGACTGGTTGTCACTGGCAGGCTGGGCTTTGGACTATCCTGAGTGGTAAGCTGGTACTGCCCAACCTTGACCATGTACAGTGAACAGGAAGGCTTCTTCCAGGCCTAGCCCCCTTCCCTGCCTTTTCCCTCCCCAGCTTCAGAGCCTTGGCCCCTCTCCCATCCCAGGGCAGGCTTGCCTCTGATCTGGGCAGGGGCACCAAGGGAACCCAGAGTCTTAAGGCAGATGGCCTGGCTCTCGGTCTCCATCGTTTGCAAGGGTCTCCTCCCGCGGTGAGTCTGCCCAGCAGATCCCAGCTCTGGAGCCTCAGCTGTGGGCCCAGGGTGCCTACCCTGTGACACCTACTTGGCTCCTGGTACAACTTGCCTGCATCCCTGACTGGAGCCTGGCTGGCCCCGGCCCAGTAGGGCCTGCCCTTGACCTTGGAGGTGCTGAGGCAGTATTTGGGCACTCCAAACTGCCCTTGGCCGTGTCCCCCGTTATAGATGACTCAATGAGGCTCTAGCTTCTAGCCCTGGGGCCCCTGGGTTGGAGCAGAGCAGAGGCTGCCTAGCTCCAACCTGCTCCTGCCCGGGTCCCCTCCATGGGACCACCCTCTGGCAGGGAGAGGCTCTCCCTCCTCCAGGAGGCTGATGTGGTGCTGCAGGACTGTATGATGGTGGCCAGGGGATGGCTTCCTTCCAGGGTTTATGGGGGGCAGGGGGTGGTTGCAGCCTGGGCCTGGGCTATCCAAAGGGCTTTCTCCCTGGGACAGATACCAGAAGCTTCTGGAATGATCTGCGGTTGGTGCGTGAGCAGCCAGGCATGCTCCTTAGTAACTGGTGGAGGTTGCATCCTTCTGCTGCATCTCCTTGCTCTGGCCCTCAGGCAGGGGACCCAGGGAGGTGAGGGCTGCCTGGGAGTCTGCAGAGCTTGGGTTGGGTGGGAAGGAGGGAGATAGGGGGTGCGTGACTGCTCCTCTGCCTCTGTTGTGCCTGCTCCCTCCCACCATCCAGGGCTGGGGGGCATCCCATGGGGCTGCACTTCCATCAGGCGTGTCAGTGTCCCACCCCCTGTGTGGGGTCTGTGCTCATCCCCTGCTGGCCTGGTTGGTGGCATGTGGGCTGTAGCCTCTGGGCTCCGTCCACCTGGTCTGGCTCCCCTTGTATCCCACCCTCCTGTCCTCGATCTTTGCCATGGCCACAGGTGGTTCTGACTGTGGCCTGCTTACCTCTCCTCATCCCAAGGGTTGAGGGCCATTCCCATCTGTCCCCCCCCCCCTCGCTGGAACCCCCTGTCTGCTGTCTGTCTGTTCTCTGGACTCCCCACGGAGCCAGGGGTTTGGGTGCAGAGGACCTGGCATGTGCTGCCCCCAGCAAGGTCCCCCCTCCCTGAGGCCCAGGGTCACTGATGCAGGTAGTGGTGGACATATATGCTTGCCCTCTGCAGTTGCTGCCTTCTGACTATTCCTTCCTGCCCAGACACGCTCAGGGTGGAGGTTGGTGCATCTTGGGGCATCTGCATTCTCAAGGTCACGCACACCTTGTCTTCTAGAAGGAGTGGTCTGAGGCTGGGTCAAGCATCCTGAGTGGTCTGTTAGAGAGGAGGTGCTGGCCGGGCTCGGTGGCTCAGCCTGTAATCCCAGTGCTTTGGGAGGCCGAGGTGAGTGGATTGCCTGAGCCTGCGGGTCCGAGACCTGCCTGGGTAACTTGGCGAGACCTCATCTCTACAATAAATCAAAATTTAGCCGGGCGTGGTAGCGTGTGCCTGTAGTTCCAGCTACTTGGAAGGCTGAGGCAGAGCCCAGCAGATCGAGTGGGCACTCTCGATCTGGGTGACAGAGTGAGACTCCAACTCAAAAAAAAAAAAGAGAGAGGAGGTGCTGGGGGCTGGAGGCGGGACCATGGGGAGGTTCCAAGCAGGGGAGGGACCTGGGCTGGCGCTGGAGGTCTTTTGGCTCCAACCAAGGTGGGGGAAGCAGGGTGGGGTGGGGGTGCTGAAGCTCCACGTACCGGCCTTGCCCACTCTGTGGGTACGCTATATGCTCAGGCGCTTTGGTGAAGGGCCGTGGGGGCTTAAGGGGGCCCTCCTGACCCAGCCCCAACCTTGCCTCTTGAGTGCCAGATGTCCCAGTTTCGTGTTCACCCCAGCGCCTCCCACCTGCATCACCATGTGGACTCCTCCCTGCACTTGGGGTCTCTGAAGGTCATGGGAGGGGCGCCCCCTCCCCAGAGCCCAGTGGATCCCCAGTCTGGGGCCTCTCCATCTGTGGCAAACCCAGTCAGTGAGGGACATGGGCAGAGGTCTCAGATGGGTCATGTGGACTCAGCCCTGACCTTGGGGGCACACAGGTGTGCTGGGAGGGCAGCTCTTGCTGGCAGGTGGGGCCCGTGGTGCCTTGGTTGGGGCCACCCTGCCCTGTGGAAAGGATGGGTGGGCTGTGGTGTCCACCCTGGTGCCCTGCGATTTGCTTGGGCTCAGAGAGGGGCACAGAGGGGGGGCCCTAGTGGGGTGTGCAGGGGTGGGCCATGTGAGGTTGGCCCAGCCTCGGTTTCCCTTCCAGCTGCTGCAGGCACTAGAGTGTGAGAATGCTCACCTGGAGGCGGCCCTAGATTGGCGCTGTGCACAGTTTGTCTTCTGGCAGTGGATGGTAAGGAGCTCCACCCCACCCATCTGGCAGCTTCCACTCGCATGCCAGCCTTGACCGTGGCAGCCCTGGGAGGTGGGGTTGGGAACTTCTCATAACTCAGACAGAAGCAGAGGCTCCTGGCGATGAAGCCAGATCTGTACCCTAACCTGGTGGCTGAGTCTGAGTCTCCTGCCAGGATGTGGCTGGTCTCTCAGGAGGCCCCATGTTCCTAGTCCTGGTTCTAGGCTGGACATCAAGTCTGCAGGCTTCTAGAGTGTGGTGATCTTTCCGCCTCCCTGGACATCGCGGCTGCTGTGGTGGCAGGAGCCGTCTGCCATGGGATCTAGGGGGCCCACTGCCCTCTGGCCTCTGCCTCTCTGTCCGGGTTGGCTGGGCAGCCCGAGTGTGGTACCTGCCGCCTCACTTGGGCCTCTTTCCGCAGGACACAGTCCTGGATGCCTGCCCCCCAGATGCTCCCACTGCAGCCTCACAGCCTCCCTCTCAGCCCAGGATCCCCGAGCATGGCGCTGTTGAGTTGGAGCTGGTGGCGCAGGGACTGCGGGCATTGCAGGAGGAGCTGCGAGAGGTCACAGAGCGCAGGCAGGAGGCCTGGGAGGCCCAGGTGAGCCTCAGGCTACCCCTCCAGGCCCCGCCACCCCC